CCTGGCCGCCGGTCGCAGCGCGGAGAGGGCGTGTCAGCACGAGGCGAGGGGAACGCCCACCCCACAATGGCTGCGAGCGCCCGGAACGGAGGGTGCACCCGCCACTCCCCGGGGACTCACGGTGGCCAGCTTAGCGCAGTGTCCAGCAAATAGTGAGCGCTCAGTAGGGCGAGAAAACTGCTGCTTGCTGCTGCTGCTGCTGCTACTGCTGCTACTGCAGGCTTCTCAGAATAGGCGCGGTCTGTGATATCAGGACTGCAATGCCAAGTCACGACTGCAAACAGCCAAATATGTCATTTAAGGAGAGTTCGGGGCGTGTCCTGCAGCGGGATGCGGAGTTCAATAAAGTTGCAGGAGGCTGGGAACGTGGATTGATTTGCCATTGCTAAATAAGTGGCAGTAGGGCATTATTGCTGACTGCCCGTGGCTTGGACAGTTTTTCAGGCCCACAGAGGTCAATGGTGTTGGTATAACTGCAGAGTGCCCTGTTGGGAAGTTTAACCTGGAAAGAGAACGAATGTGCCCAAGTTGACGGGGGAGCTGGTGTTTCATTTTCGAAGCTCCACCGCCTAACTGCACAGGTCTCATTTAGATCAGGATCAAATAGACAAAGAGGAGGGGACCCGGAGGAGGGGACCCGGAGGAGCGGCTTTTAAAAGACCTTGAAACAAAAGCACCAAACTCTGGGCTGTTCCCTTGACCCTTGAGCTGACCGTTGGCAGCACTAAACACACAAAAGGAAATGACAAAAGAAACCATATGCAACATGTGATAGAGTGACTATTTCAGACTCAGTGATAGGAAGAGTTCTGGCTTTGAAAAACTGCGTGAATCAACGAGAAGCACAGATCTGCCTATCACAGCTCAGATCATTTTCCCCGGGGCCACTCTGCCCAGCTCTTAACCACAACCCTCTTTGTCCACTTCTCTCCCCAAAATCATAGGAAGGAGTGTCGCTTCTGGAATGAGCTGCTCTCATGTGGATGCATAGATCTCATCTTCACCTTGCCAATAACAGTGCTGATGCATAGGTTGTTCTTAATCATTATCGGTATTATGACTTTACTACTATAAATATTGTAGTGATCAAGATCACAGCTTTACAGCCAGATTGCCTGGGTTCAATCTAACGGGATGGCCTTGGGCCATACTAATGGGGCCTCAGTTTCCTCATCTGTAAATGGGGATAAAGATAGCATCTACTTCACAGGGCTGTCCTGAGTTTCCCCTAGACCCGTGGTCGGCAAACTGCGGCTCGAGAGCCACATGCAGCTCTTTGGCCCCTTGAGTGTGGCTCTTCCTAAGCCTTAGGAGTACCCTAATTAAGTCAATAACAATGTACCTACCTATATAGTTTAAGTTTAAAAAATTTGGCTCTCAAAAGAAATTTCAGTCGTTGTACTGTTGATATTTGGCTCTGTTGACTAATGAGTTTGCCGACCACTGCGGCCTAGACTAATATATGTAAAGCATTTAAAGCAGTTACTGGCACATAGTAAACACGCACTCAAAAAATTTTATCAACAGAAAGAGATTCACAATAGTCAAGATGTGGAAACAACCTAAATGTTCATGGCGGATGAATGGATAAAGTGTGGGGTATACATACAATGGGCTATTATTAGCCTTAAAAAGGAAGGAAACCCTGCAGTATGCAACAGCATGGATGAACCGTGGGGACATTATGCTAAGTGAAATAAGCCAGTCACAGCACAAGTACTGCATGATTCCACTTATATGAAGTATATAATAAAATAGTCAAACTCAGAGAATGAGAGTGAAGAGTGGTGGTTGCCAGGGGGTGAGGGTGGGTGCTAATCCATGGGCATGAAGTCTCAATTATGAAAGACAAGTTCTAGAGGTCTACTGTACAACACATACTTACACTTAACCATCCTGTATTATATACTTTGAAATGCGTTAAGAGGGTAGGTCTCATGTTGTGTTCTTACCACAATCAAATAAATTTTTAAACAGAAGAAGGAAGGGAGGAGGGACCAAGCCAAGGCTCGTTGCAGCCCTGGTCCCAGAGGGCACGTGGCAAGCCTATACTGTTGGCGTGCTGTCCCTCTGACTTTGCCAAGGGCCTACTGTGTACATTGTAGGCGTTTTATGTGCATTATATCTAATCCTCACCACAACCTTAAGGAGGTGGTCATATTAGCCTTCATTTTACTATTGGAAAGTGGCCGGCAGGACTTCAACCTTGGTTTTCTGACTGCCATGCCGGAAGCCTCGCTTCTACCCAGCCTCCAGCCCTCCTGGCATATGGGGCCCTGATTTAGCCCAAAGGACACTGTGTTCGGCTTTCCTGCCGCACACCTGAATTCAAATGCCCTGAACACACAACCTTAGCGGTGTTTAAAAAGCACGCCTCTCTCTCTTTTTTTAATCCTCACCAGAGGATATTTTTCCATTGATTTTTTTATAGTGGAAGAGAGAAGGAAAGACAAAGAGAAATATTGATGTGAGAGAAACGCATCGATTGTTGCTTCCTGCACGCGTCCTGACCAGGGCCCGGGCCAGGGAGGAGCCTGCAAATGAGGTGCATGACCAGAATTGAACCCGGGACCCTTTCAGTCCACAAGCCGACACTATCCACTGAGCCAAACCGGCTAAGGCAAGCACACCTCTCTTGTCTCCTTTCCCTCAGGTCTCTACTGGCCTCGGGACTGAGAAGCAGGCCCCTGTCTTTCATGAGAAAGTGAAGCAGCCTTGAGGGGAGCCTGAGAAAGATTCACCAGGCAGGAAAGGCTCAGAGATGGGGCCAGACTTGGCATTTTTAATAAGTCTGTGGTCAGGCTGGTGAACAGAGGGATTTTGAGGAAAAAACTGACAAGGTCAGATTTACACGCCTTCTGTTACCTTCTTTCCCCATAGTTGAGCATCCCCCTAACTTTCTCCTTGCTTTGGAACACCCAGCATTCACTATGCAAACATCAAGACCAATTAATATATAATTCCTCCAAGAAATGTTTGCTTTTTGTTTTGTTTTGTTTTGTTTTTAATAGCTCCTAGAAGGAGGAACCCAAAGGAATGAATCTCTACCAGAATGAATTTCAACCCCAGTGATCCTGGGAAGGAGAGATTAGGAGGCAATGATGCCTTCCCAAAGCAGCCCCCCTCACCCGCCTCTCCCCAGGGAAGATGGTCAGGATGCGCCCCACCAATCTCCTCACGCTGTGACCTCCAGCAGGCTGTTTGAGCTCCCAGCTAGCCTCTGTTTCTGCGGGGTTCCCACTGATGGGCTGCTCCCAGGATTGAAATGGATGTCAGATGCAATCATATAGTAATGCTGCCCTCATGAGTTCCCCTCCTTCCCAGAAGTGATTCTCAACCCAGGCTGAGTGGAGAGCTCTGCCTGGTCCCCAGACTTGGCAGCAATTGGAATCCCCTGTGGGAATTTTAAATCACTCCCACCAGGGCTCCACTCCCAGGGAGACTGATTCAGGTGATCTGGTCTGTGCCCTGGGCATCGAGACTTTTCAAAGCTTTCCAGATGATTCCACTAGGCAGCAAATTTACAAATCCGACCCATAAACAATTAAAGTGGAATCTCTGGGGACTGGGCACCAGACTTCTTTAATGTATCATATTTTATTCCATCCTCATAGAAGGATATGGAGGGTGTGTGTGTGTGTGTGTGTGTGTGTGTGTGTGTGTGTGTGTATTGTCATTATTTGTTTTACAAAAATGGATCACACACACATACTTTTTTGGATCTTGCTATTAACATTCCTGTTAACAATTCCTGTTAAATCCCTCCAGGTCCATTAATATTATTCTAACACATTCTTTTTCTTCTTTTAATTTTTAAATGTTGATGTAATCATGATGTATAGAAACACTGCAAGAGTAGGGCAGAGGTTTCTCATTCACCCTTCATTAGGTTCCCCAAATGTTAACCCATTATGATATTTGCTTCATGTTCGGGAATGCTTTTAAAACTCCACAGGTGTCTTTAATGTGAGGCCAGGTTGCTATGTGAGGCCCGGGGTTGCTATGAGACTTCAGATGCTGTTTGTGACACTCCTGAGCCTAGTGAAGGGCTTTGCATTGGAGGCAGCTGTGTGAGGTGGTTAAGAGGGTAGGTTCTGTCCAGCTGGTGTGGCTCAGTGGTTGAGCCTCAACATATGAACCAGGAGGTCACAGCTCGATTCCCGGTTAAGGCACATGCCCAGGTTGCAGGCTCCATCCCCAGTGTGGGGCGTGCAGTGGGCAGCTGATCAATGGTTCTCACTCATCATTGATGTTTCTTTCTATCTCTCCCTCTCCCTTCCTCTCTGAAATCAATAAAAATGTATTTTAAAAAAGGGAGTGTAGGCTTAGGGTCAGGCTACCTAGGTTTGATTTCTGACTTCTTCACTTCCAAGCCTTCTGTGCCTCAGTTTCTTCATCTGTAAAATGGCTAATAGAAGTGCTAACTCCAAAGGCTATGTAAGGTCTGAATGGGATTACTTATGTGAGCACACAGTAGGACTCAATAAAGCGTAGCTATTAATATGTATTGATCATTATCATGGCTCATCTATGAAAAAAAATTGGTTTAAGCTTGCTCTATAAGTAAAATTCTTTGTGAGCCCAGAGCCACTCCTTCACTTAGAAAATCTGAGGAGTTGTCAGTATTTAAAGCATCACAAATTGAGAAACAGAATCCCCCTTTGAAAATGAAACTAGCAAGAGTCTAGAAATAACATCTGTCACAGTGACTCACTGTCAGAGGTGTTTGACATGTGTTTGTGGATGGTGGCCTAGGAAACACCCAGTTGTAGCCTCAGAGTG